AGATGCAAGAGGAACAGAAAAACTGTGTGAAATGATGGATTCTTATTTTGAGTGTCTCGATGTGCGCAGCACAACTGAGCATCAGAGGAAGAGGAAACCATTTCTTGCACCATATAGATCAGTGGATGATCCAAGATTTCTTTGGTTGACAAATGATTTCCTTGGCTATCTGAGGGATTGGAAGGAAAGCAACGCCCAACGCCCTGGAAATTTCACTCAGAATGCCAGGAGCAGGATGTTCTTATCCTGGCAGACGTAAGAAGGCCTGCAGATCTCAGCCTATTCAGTAGTAGAGGCAACAAAGTTTCTTCTGAATGAAGGTATGGAGTATGTCTTAACTGTGAGGTTCTGCCAAGATCCCTTAGAAGAATACTTTGGAAACCAAAGAAAGCTGGGAAGAAGAAATGACAACCCTGACATGAAGACATTTGGCTACAACAACAATACCATCAGAGTACAACGTGCCATCTCCTGTCAGTCTGGGAAAACGCGTGGAAGGAAAGACAGAGACAGATCATGGGTCAATGATTCAAATGACCCAGTGCCAAAGAGGAAAAAACAATGATTACCTTATTTATGCCAGGTATTTTTTGGGGTGTAAAATTTCAGGCTTAGAGTATAGGTAGTTTGTTTGGTTCATAATTAGACACTCAATCGCCCCCCCCCCAGCCCACCTGTTCATGTATAATGCATGTACCCCCACTGGGATAGCAAGTTCATTTAAGGCTTGATACTTGCATGATTTGTGAACATAAGGAATTATGTAACATTTCTTGTAATGTTTATCTCTTGTTACAAGGACAATAATTATTTGTTGTAATGTTAATGTTGATGTAATTTCGGTAGAAACACATCTTTTGAGGTGCTATTATGAAATATTCACAATATAATATGCATACGGAATTGGCTGGATAACATTGTTTCAGGGACAGTGAAACCAGGGGAGGGTTTTAGCCCCTCCCCCCTCCGCAAGTTGAAAATAGGCTCTCTCCCTGATATGTAAGATCTACATTGTGACATGTATGTCGATTGACCAGCTACTGCTGTTGTCCCCAAACTAAGCTTAGTTTTACTCCAGTATTCTATAAGAAAACAAGAAAACATTGTTTAATATGTAGACATGTAATTTTTCTATGCAAATATTTCAAGCACATGTGGATGTAAATATTTTTTATTCTTAATCAGTTATTGTTTTAAAATTTTTAACAACAAATGCAACAGCAACTTATTAGAAATGATTAGGAATATACAAATATGTTCTAGGGGTCAATAAATTAAATTGTTTCTCGCATGATGATTTTTAGAGTTTAGCTTTGCCTTAGTTGATCAAACTCATGGAAGGCTCTGCTAATATCCTTACGAAGTGCTTTGGATTTCATTTGTTTCAGTCTAATCTTATGTTTCTGGATGATATCTTTCGCAAAAGAAAATGACCGCACTTTGACATACAATTGTATGATGTTGTGCAAAACATCTTCTGCAACACTACTGTTGATTACCAGTTGAGAATTGGATAACAGTGAATTGTATGCTGAGACAACTTCAACATCATGAACAGATCTTGATATAATACTAGCAAAAGCTATATTCTGCTCAGTAGTATTTGAAGTGGTATCCCTGAAATAATGTTCAGTTCTCTCAAAAATTGATTGAGCACTTTTTGTAATTGCCCACAAACCACCACGATTTAAGGATGAAGTTAACTTCTGGCATTCAATAGCATTCTGGTCTTCTAATTTGCCAGCCTTAAGGAGGGAGATTGCCTGCTTACTTTCTGATGATTTACTGACATGCTTGGTATGAAGTTTATGAAGCACATAAC